ATGGTGAGTGATCGTGCGATGGTGATGGTGATTCTGATGGTGATGATGATGGGGAGTTGGGAGTGATGGTGATGGTGATGATGATGCGGAGGAGGAAGCAAAGAGGAGCAGAGGAGAGGGAGGAGGACGAGAGATTCTGCGCTGAGGGTGTGCAGAGAAAGCAAGAACCTCACTTAGGATGTGGGAAAAAAACCAAACAAATAAACAACAAATTCTTCAACAATAGTCAGTTTTTTTTTTTTTTTTTGTATTTTTGGCCTCTTTTGGGGTATGTTTGGGGTATTGTTGGGGTATTGTTGTGTATGTTTGGTGTCTGTTTGAGGTATTTTTGTTTTTTCGTCGAACATCCCCCTGTAGGGGGACAGGCCCGACGTAACGCTCGTGGTGCCCCCGCCCCGCCCCCCCATGCGTCGGCACGGCCCTCCAAGGCCCTCTTGCATCCTCACCGCGCATGCTCATGCTGCGGGCTGGCTGTGCTTCACCTGCCGTCCTACAGTCAACGCGCCTAGTCAGGACGCGCGCCTTCATCTAGGATGCCCTTGCGCCCTTGCCTCTGTGGCCCGTCCTTTGCCGTTCTCACTGGTCGCCGCCGCCCAACAAATCCCAACTTCAGCCTCCAAGGGTCTTGCGTCCTTACCACGCGTCCTTAATATACGTTTGGACTGTACTTCATTAGAGGTGCACAGAAAGCATGCACACGAAATTTCGGGCCGGCGAGAGTGTGTGTATATGCTGTGTTCGTTGTTCCACTCTGGTCATGCTTCCACCTATTTCGGACTGGCGGTCATGTACATGCAGCTGCATCTGCTTCTGAGCCCGAAGTCTTACGGCCCGGGGCTGGTCGCAGAGCACATGGCTCGGCCCAGCCTCGGGCCTGGGGTCGTCGGGTCCGCCGTCGGGACGATGCCCGCGCGCTTGGGGCCCCGAGTGGCCCGGCAAATGGTGCGCGATCCGGTGGTTTCAAATCATGGGGGTCATGTGTACCCTCGCCTAGGCCTCCTAGGTGGAGCAGGAGGAGGAGGAGGAGGAGGCGGAGGAGGGGATGAGGAGGAAGGAGGAGGGGGGGAGGGGGTGGGAGGGGGAGGGGGGGGGGAGGAGGGGGAGGAGGAGGAGGAGGAGGAGGAGGAGGAGGAGGAGGAGGAGGAGGAGGAGGAGGAGGAGGAGGGGGAGGAGGGGGAGGAGATGGAGCAGGAGGAGGAGGAGGAGGGGTAGGAGGAGGAGGAGGAGGAGGAGGAGGAGGAGGAGGGGAGGAGGGGGGGGGGGGAGGAGGAGGAGGAGGAGGGGGAGGAGGAGGAGAGGAGGAGGAGGATGGAGGAGGAGGAGGAGGAGGAGGAGGAGGAGGAGGAGGACGAGGAGGAGATGGGGTCGGAGGAACGTGCCGCATCGCCGACGCATCGGCGATCGGTCGGCGATGCGGCTCGATGTGGGGCCCAGTTTTCTTCACGCCGAGATCGTCGATGCATCGCCGATGTCGCCAGTGCATCGCCGATGCATCGGCGATGCATCGCCGATGTATCGGCGATGCGGCGAGATCCTCCGACCCCATCTGCGCCGACCCCATCCAGAAGGCCTCTGCCTCGTACTTCCGTCTTTGGAGTGCACTGGCGTCCATTGGCGTCTGATATACTCGATGGTTTAGCGCCACTTCAGCCTCGATGAGCGTCGACTAGCGTCCATTTGCGTCGATTCGCCAGAGCCAACAAGATGGCTTGGGAGGCTTCCATAAGTTGCCGCCGAACGATCCGGCGGTTCGTTGCCCAACGCTCCGTGTGGGCCTCCACCGGAGTTTGCTGAACCATTTCCCAGCCCCTGAGCTCAGCATGTTCCGAGGGGGTTCCGCAAGAGAACGTTGTGAATGCTAGACGCTTCGCGACCGCACCAGCTCATCCAGAAACGACTTCCAGTCGAGTTGCCCTGATCAGGGATGCGAAGGAGCATGCAGTGGAACAGAGGGCCGGGTAAGACGTCATACCCCAATAGGGGGAGGATGGAGGAGGAGCCAGAGGAGGAGCAGGAGGAGGAGTGAGGCGAGGGGGAGGAGGGAGCAAGAAGGAGGAGGCATTGGCGGATGAGGAAGAGGAGGAGGAGGAGGAGGAGGAGGAGGAAGAGGAGGAGGAGAAGGAGGAGGAGGAGGAGGGCGAGCAGAAAGGCCTCTTGGCGCGTCTTGGAAGTCTCTCGGCAGTTCCGGGGGCCTCTTCGGCCGTCTTGGATTCATCTGGGGGGCTTCTGGGGGCCTCTTGGGGTTCTCTTGGGGGCCTTTTGGGAGCACCTCGGGAATATCTTGGGGGCCATGTTTGGACCTTCTTGGCGAAGGTCGATCAACGAGGGCCGTAGCAAATTTGCCCCCACCCCCGGAGGTCAAAATGTGGCCAAAACCTTGGTGACAATAATTTTGGCTTTCTCGCCGAGGCCAATCATGACCTCCTAAAACCTCGCGAAACGCAACGTCCAGGTCCAGGGGGAGAGGGTAGGGTCAAGTCGGGCGTGTCCCTCTAGAGGAGGAATGCTCAACAATAATTCAAAATAGTCTGGGGACGATGCTTGGATTATTTGTTCGAGCTTGTAGGAGGAGGAGGACACGCCCGACCTGAGGGCAGGGGGAGGGGTCAAGACACCCTCCGGGCCCGCAAGCCGCCTCGCTCACTCCCACCTGCCCTCCCAACACAGAAGTAGCACCCGAGCCAGCCGCAGCGTGTTCAGCGGTAGTCTTCGGATGGACACCGATACTGGGTACCAAAGCAGACCCCATGTATGCAACGCTGTGGCGAGGTGCGCCAGGCGTGCCAGGGGCGCCACGGGATCCAGGTGCGCAAGGCACCCCTGTGGCCCAAGCGTGCCAGGCACGCGTGGTGCGCCAGATGCGCCACGAGATCCACGTGCGCCATGTGTGCCGCATGCTCCGGTCGTGCCATGTTCGCCAAGTTCGTGGCGTGCGCAGGGTGTGCCAGGTGCGCCTGCGCACCTGGCAGTACACATCGGGACACGTGTCGGCCCCCACCAACCTTGTCGAAAACCAGTGCGCAGCGGCGCTGCGCACAGCAGGCATTACGCGGGCACCCCCGCCGTCCCTGTCAAGAACAATACAACGTGCTCGCGGCATCCTCGATCATGACCCAAGATGTTGCCCAAAAGTTGAGCTTACATTGTTTCTTGATAGGGATGGTGGGTGGGTGGGTGGGGCGGAATTGAACCTGGTTGGCAGCCGGTCGGCTGGGGGAGGGGGTGTTCATTAATAGGGAACAGGAAGAAACCTTTCCCCCAAGGGGAAGAAGGGGGATGGAAGAGGAGACACGCAAAACCGCTCACGCCCGAAAGGGCTGGTTCCCGCCCTTATTCTCTTCCGTTGACCGCAGCGCAATTTGCAGTCGTTTGGACGTTCACAAAGCGAGCCTCAAGGCTGCCTGTTAATCGACTATTGTCCATTGGCCTATACGTTTCCATCGTTTCGATCCTGTCCATTCGGCTTGGGGGCTCTTTTGCAGAGGGGCTGGTGGGGAGAAAAACATAATCTTCGGAAGGGCATGCTGGGTTTTTGCAGCTAGAAAGAGGGGAGCCTCTCGTTCCTCCTTCCTTTCTCCCCCACCTCCACCTTCCTTCCTCGTCCACCTTTCTACCCATATGCGTACATACTACGTGTGTGCAAAGGCATGTCTGTATATAGACATACGCTTATATCCAGCTCACAAGCATTAGAGTTCAGTATATTGCCGCCCATTGTTTCTTCTCCTGCATCGGGAAGTTTCAGCAGTTTCTCGGAAGGTTAGCTGGGAGTCTTGCGAAGAAGTCGGTTGTCAGTTTCGAAGTCGTTGGTACGGTCGGTCGCCCTCGTCGTAAATGCGCCAGGGGCAAGACGTACAAGGCCTTTGCCAGCACTCTTTGATGTTGTGGGTGCCGCTTTCAGAGATTCCAGATGGCTCTAGATCAGTGGCATCGAGAGATGTCTAACACAGGTCGTCTTGCTAGGGCAAATTTTGGTGTGGAGGTGCACGGCACCTCAGTCAACGTGCTCGTGTTGCTTCGACTCAAAGTCTGCAAGTGCGGCACACCATCGGGTGGGCGTTGGGTCAAGGAATCCCGCATCTAGAACCATTCTCGAGCACGATCGGTGCTACTCCCCTGAGATCGGACGTTGCGAAACACATTGCAACATCGCAAACAATCACGACCAGAGCCCCAGACCCGATCTTGCTGCGTCATGTTTAGAGCCAGATCGATGTGTGAGGGTCCTGGAACTTGAAGTTGAGCGAAAACGCCCAGCGTGAAGAATTGCAACGTAAGGATCTCAGGGTATGCAGAGGCCGCCCATGTCCTCCGGCATACCAGAGAGATTCGGCGGGCCACCGCCAGGCAGGATACGTACCTGTCTCTTGGTCGGCTCTGAGGAGCCCTTGGGAGCCAGCTTTCTCTGGGAGGAGACTCGCACACCTGGAAGTGCGAGTCGCGCCTGCGGGGCCCGCCGCGGGCTCAGAAAGGACCATACTAATCCCGATCCCATCATGCCTCCCTCCCTCCACTCCCCTCGACCCCCCACCCCCTCCCTCCCCCCTCCCCCCCCCTCCCTCCCCCCTCCCCCGCTCTCCCCCCCCGCCCCCCCTCACCCCCCCCCTCCCCTCTCCCTCCCTCCCTCGCACCCCCCCTCACCCCCCCCCATCCCTCGCTGCCCCCCGCCCCCCTCCCCCCCTTGGACCCCTCTCGGGGCCCTCTTGGGCAGCCTCGCGAGCCTTCTGGGGGCCGTTCGGGGGGCCGTCCCGGGCCGCCCGGGGGCGCTTTTGCTGGGGGCCCCTTCGGGAGGCGGGGCGAGGGGGCGGCGCCCGCGCCCATCTGGCGTGGCGGGCCGCCTCCAGGCCGAGAGGAGATCCGCGAGGCGCCTCTCCCCCCTCCTCCTCCTCCTCCTCCTCCTCCGCCTCCTCCTCCTCCTCCTCCTCCTCCTCCTCCTCCTCCAGTCGGCATATTGGCTCACGTTTCGCCTGCAGGGTCGCCCGTCCTCCCGCGCGTCTCCGATGCCTCCGACGTCTGGCGATGGAGCCCGCCCCGCGGCGCTGGAGGTCGCGCGCGGCGCACTTCTGGCCCTGCACTCGGCTGCTGGGCTCACCACGGGCAGCGCGGAGATGGTCGAGGCTCGCCGCCTCCTCCGCGCGGCCGAGGGCATGGTCAGGGCTGCGGTGGCCCTCCTGGCCAAGCCGCAACCTCCCGCGCTGGACGCGGCGGCTGGAGCCGCGCCGCCTGCTGCCCCTCGGCGGCGGCAGCGGCCTCGCGGCGGCGGCGGCTCGAAGGGCGGTAGCAAGGCTGGGCAGGAGGACATCGTGATGACGGACGACCACGTCACTGGAGGGTCTGCGGAGGAGGGGCCTCCGGAGCTGGCGCCTGACGACTGGGCCGACGACCTGCCGATCGTGCGTCGGCCAGTTCGCCGCCCGCCGGGCGCCACGGGTGGGGGCGACGCGCGCTCCCGCCCGCCGGCCGCGGGAGGCAAGGGCAAGGGCAAGAGCAAGGACAAGAACACCCTGGACCTCCCCGCTGGCGCTCCTGCAGCACAGGGAGTGAACGAGGCGGAGGCGGAGCCTGCAGCAGCTGGCGGAGCCGCCGCCGTCGCCACCCCTGGCGAGCGCAGCGGCGAGCGGGCGGCCCTGCTCGCAAAGCTCGTGGCGTCTGGCATGTTCGGCCAGAGCCTGCTGCCCACCATGCAGTCCCTCGAGATCGTCGCGCTGCGCCACCTCGTGTCGCAGCTGCCGCACTGAGAGGGGCTGGCCTGCCTGGGCCCCACTGTCACCTCTTGGTTGGGCCTCTGCAAGGCATGCCCCAGGTGCGCAGCGGGTGGTCCCAGGTGGGCCCTTCCCCGTCAGCTGGCACCACGTGTGCGCCTCTCACGGAAGCGCGGTTGGTGTGCAGGCTGGCGGGGCCGCTCGCCGTCGTCCTCAACTTCGGCGAGTTCATATGCCCCGCCGTTGCGGGGGCTGGGCGGGCGCCCGAACCGCGTTGCGCGGCTTGCTTCTTCTTCTTCTCCTCCTCCTCCTCCCCTTCCCCCTCCTCCCCCTCCTCCTCCTCCTCCTCCTCCTTCTCCTTCTCCTCCTCCTCCTTCTCCCCTCGCGCCCTCCCCCTCCCCTCGGAGAGACGGGGGGCGCCTCGAGCGGGAGGCCGCAGACCCAGAGGTCCAACGTACTGGAAACATCAAGACGGAGGTTGAACAAAAAAATCAAGACGCAGGTTTTTCGCAGATCTCGGCCCCGAGGGGCCCTCGCGGGGCCTCGGGGCCCTCAAAAAACAGTACAGGATGAAAAACCAGTCCTGGGAAATGGGTCGAGCCTTCCGGGGACCCCGTCTTGAAGAAATCACGACGTCGGATCGTTAGGGAGGAGGGGGGGAGATCCAAGACATAGAACTACACTTTGGGCGAGTGGATTAGCTTCTTGCGCGGATCCCGAAATTCCAAACTTACTTTTGCGACATCGTCTTACGTATTGGTTCGCACGCCATTCGAGGGGGCCGATCGCGCCTGTTGGATTTGCTGGGGCCGCGGCGTGTCTTGCCATTGTCAGTCTGGAGCCAAGGCTTGCGCCTCACGAGTGGATTGGAGGATGAGCGCAAGGTGAGTCTTTCAGCTGCGGGGGGGCGCGGGCGTTTGCCGCCACGCAGGGGCCAGGGGCAACTAGGAAACGCTCAGGGAAATGGAGGGCGGCAGGTAGAGGAAAAACGGGGGAGGGGGAGGGCAAAGCAGCGGGCCGGAATGGTGAACATAGTGACCAGGCGAGATACTCTGATTGGGGGAGCGATGTGGGCGGAGGCCGCAGTTGGAATTCCTTATGATAGCCCGGGGACGTTCAGACACCTCCGCCCGGAGGCCGGCAGGGGGTTCAGCGGCCATTGCCTTTCTGACTCTGCGGGCGGGGCGCGACGACGTACCCGACTTGTACCCCGCCCCTTTCGCTAGGTGCCGGTCTGTGCGTGCTCGCCCCGCGCGAGACATCCAGCGCGTTCAGAACTACACTTAGCCGGGCACTAGGTGTAGTTCTGTACGTGCTGGTTTCGCCGGAGACATCCCCACAAAACGGAGCACTTATAGAACTACACCTAGCCAGCGGGGCGGGGTGCATGTCGGGTGCCGCCACTCGCGCCCCCGACACGTACCGCGCCCCGGCCGCTAAGTGCCGTTCTGTACGTGTCCCCTTTTCGCGAAGCATCGGCTGCCCGCGCTGCCCATCGCCGAGGCCCCGCCCCCTGGGCCGCTCCCCACCGACATCCCGCATCCCCTGGCTCAGCGAAGCCAGCCGTATGCCTGGGGGCCTCGACGTCGCGCAGCCCGCTTCCCTCCCCCGCCTGTGCCCCAGCAGCAGATTCGCGATCCGATCCCCCGCGCTTTCAAATTCTTCTTCGTGCCAGATTCCCCGTCCGAGCGTGAGCGCTTTTTCGTGTTATGCTTTTTCTTGCGGCAGCCGTCAAGCCTCGCCGTGCAACGTGGTGATCGCTCCCACGATTGGCACGCAACGTCGTCGGCACGACCATCGCCTTCCATCGTGGGTCATGAGGCGATGTCCGTCCACCCAGAGCGACCGACGCGCCAAATCGAATTATGATTGCCACCCCTGGCCCCCGCAACAAGGTGCAGTTTTGCTGTGTGTAGTTGTAAATGTGTTCGAGGAGGAGCAAGTACTCTGGATCCCTTCATAACCGCCCCCCCCCCTTGGAGTGCCCAGGGGGGCTGGCCGCGGCGCGTCCGCGGGGGTGCCAGGGGGGGGTCTGGGGTTCGTTCCCTTCCCCGCTGGGGCGCGGGGGTGGTGCCGGGGGGTGTTGGTCGCGCCGCGTTTTCACGTTTGTCACCCCCCAGTTGATGAATCAGAAGTTCGGAGAGTACCCGTGCCTCTACCCTTCGCCCGTCTTCCCTTGTCCTTGTCCGGGCTTCGTCGGCCTTCGCCGCCACAGCTGGATTCGCCTCGACATCCTGGTCAGGGCGCACGGAGTAGCGGTATCGGTGCCTTTCGGTCTCCCCCAAAATCGGCGACGGGCCCAGGGGGGAAGTGGGAATTTGGCATCGCTTGGACGTGTGCATTTCTTCTCGGCGAGAACCATCGAAGAGAGTGTAGAGTCAGTCATCTTGCGAGAAAGTACACGCACGAGGCCGAAACATGCACGAGAAATGGACGTCCGAGCGATGGCGAGGGAAGGGGCGGACCTTCTCAGAAGGCTCGGGAGGCCTCGGGCCTTCTGAGAAATTCTGAATTCGATTCGAAGAGTTTTGAATTCCAAAAGTGAGTTGTTGAATTCGAAAGAAAAAGTTCTGAATTCGGAAACCAGGTTTTTGAATTGAAAAAGCTAATTTTTTGGGAAGGGAAATTCAAACATGAGCCTTCCCCACAAAGCACAAGAAACGCTCCAGAAACCAGGTTCTGAATGCAAAAACCAGTTTTTTTTGGGGGGGAAGGGCAATTCCAAAAAGAGCCTTCCCCGAAAGCGCAGGACACGTTTCAGAAGGCCCGGGACGGGGGTCTGAGACGCCCCTTTGCCTGCTGAGAAGGTTCGGGGGAGCGTAAGACCCGGGTTTGCCAGGACTCGGGTTCGCCATCGTTTTTTTGACGACCGCGCCTCGGATTTTGACGAGGAGGAGTTTCGTGGGATGTCTGCAGCGGGAGGCCTCGCCAAAATGCAGGCTCGGCCTCGTCATTTGTTTGACGACCTCGGCGGGGATTTACGAGTCCCCTGCACCCGGGTCTTACGCCCCCCTGAAAGGTCTGCCGCTTCTCCGAGAGCTCGCCGCCCCATATACCGAATGCAATACCCCACGCTCGAGGGTCGAGGATTGAGGTTCGACCACGGTCTCCTCCTCCTCCTCCTCCTCCTCCTCCTCCTCCTCCTCCTCCTCCTCCCCCTGCTCCTCCTCCCCCTGCTCCTCCTCCTCCTCCTCCTCCTCGGTTCGAGTCGTGTTGACTTGAGGCGACCCCGCCGACGGCGTTCAACGTTGAAAGCCGCCGGCGACCCAGAATAGGTCGACGTTGAACGATCCCCACAGTGTCAGGAACCAGCGCTGGGTCGACACGACGCGAACCCGCGGCATCGAGGTTCGAAGGTGGAGGACGACACAAGTCGCCCAGCCTGTCCGATCGATCTCGGCCTCCAGTGTCCAGTTTCGGGCCCCAGACAGTCAGGAATTGATACGGGACGCAGAGCTGGCCGGAACAGCGTAGCTTGTTTAACGAGTTTTGTTTTCTCTCTGCCAATATCCCTCCTTCCCCTGCTCGGGGGAGGGTTTTTTGTCCCTAATATTATACTTCCCCTCACCCAGGCGACCGGCAGCCAACCAAGAACAAAGAGGACCCCATGATCACACCCATCTTTGTCAACAAACAATACGAACACGCACTTTGCCTCCAAATTCGCAGCATGCGCAGCCAACCCGATGCGCCCCCCCCGAGACATCCCTGTCAACAAACAGTCCAATGTACACTTTGGGGCAAAGTCTGGAGTCAGGTTCGTGAGGCCCGCGAGCACTTTGCACTGTTTTGTTGGCAGGGACGGTGGGGGTGTCAGCATATTGCCTGCTGTGCGCAGGGCGACCATCCCTGACGAAAACTATACAAACTACACCTCGCGGCTAAATCTGGATAATGCGCGGCCACCCAGCGATCACTGTCGAATGGTGTTTAACAGGAACGGCGGAGGTGGTGGCGTGTGGCCTGCTGTGCGCAAGCCCGCCAGACACAATGATGGGCAGTGGTTTTCGACAAGAGTGGTGGGGGCCGACGTGCTTCCCGATGTATGGTGTCACGTGCGCAGGCGCACCTGACACACCTTGCGCGTGCCTCAAACGTGGCGCACATGGCGGAGTATGCGGCACACCTGGCGCACGCGAAGGCACCTGGCGCATCTGGCGCACCAGGCGTGCCTGCCACGCTCGGGCCCCAGAGGTGCCTGGCGCGCGTGGCGCGCCTGGCACGCGTGGCGCACCTCACCCCAGCGTCGCGCACAAGGGCTCGGCTTTGGTTTCCAGTAGCCGTCCATCTAAAGACGACCGCTGAACATGCTGAGGCTCGGGCATTACTTTGTGTTGGGAGGGCAGGTGGGAGTGAGCTAGACGGCTTGCCATCTAGAAGGGTGTCTTGACCACTCCCCTTATCCCCTCTTGTGCCTGGGAGGGGGGTGCGCGAGGCGTTAGAGCTCCCAAGATCGCCCAAGATGGCTCCAGGAGGGCTTTGGGGACCGATCTGGAACGTCTTGGGGCGGCGCGCATGCGGTGGCGGCACGAGGGGGGCGCCTTTTGAGAATTGAAGAGGGGGGCTTCTAGGATGAAGCCGGGCATGTCCCTCTACAGGAGGAATATTCAAGAATAGTAGAAAATAGTCTGGGAATGATTATTCGTGCTCTTTTGGCTATTTTGACGATGTGTTGACTTTGCTTTTCTCTTTCTTCTGAAATCCGCCTGGAGGAGGACATGCCCGACCTAGTTCTCAGGCGGGGCTCTTTGTAACCAGAACGGCCACTTCACAACAAGCCTTCAGGAGCGCGTGCGCGCTCTGCAGAAGCGTCTGAAGCTTCCGAGCGCCTGAATATTCAGCAGAAGCATCTGAGCGCCTGAGCGTTCTGCAAATTTCTTCTGAACGCCGGAGCGCTTGGCAGAAGCTTCTGAGCACCTGAGGGTTCTGAGGAGCCCTCGCGGCTTCTCAGAGGCCCTTCTCCAAGGACCTCCTCGGAGGCCCTTCTCCTGGCCTCTGGGATGGTCCTCCGGAGGAGCACCGCCAGGCGCTCCTCGGGAGGCCCCCGCCTCCCCGCCTCCTCTCGGGAGCCCCGCCCGCCTCCTCCATTCCCTCTTACTGTTCCTTGCCCTCCCGCTCCTTCTGCTCCTCCTCTTCCTCTTCCTCTTCCTCCTCCTCCCGAGCCTCTTCCTCCTCTTCCTCCTCCTCTTCCTCTTCCCTCCTGCTCTTCCGAGCACGCCCCCCCCCAGAGTACGGTAGGTTCGCGTCGTGTCGACCGACGCCGACCCCGCCGCCGGAGTTCAGTGTTGAACGCCGCTGGCGACCAAGAGCCGGTCGATTTGAACGCTCTGCCGTTTCTGAAACGGCCGATCGTTCAAGGCTGAACGATCTTCCGATCTTCGCGGTGTCAGAAACCAACGCCGAAGTCGGCACGACACGAACTTGCCGTACCCTCCCCGGCGCCCCGCGGGGGCGCTGCCTGCGGCTGCCAGCCTGCTCCCCCCAGACCCCCCGCGGGCAATGCATGAATCCTGACGGGAGGCTGTTCCGAGTGCTCGGCCTCTGGAGCCTAATGTTAACCAGCCCTCGGGAACGTCCACGAAAAAAACGGCTCGGGATGAAGACCTGGTCCAGGGGGGAAGGGGTCGAGACCTCTGGGGGCCCTCGAGACCCCCGACGCCAGGTTTTTTTTGCACAGCGTCGGCCCTCAGAGGTCTCAGGACCGGCTTCTCATCCCGAATCTTGTCTCGCGAGGGTCCCGAGGCCCGGTGAGGGCCCCGGCAGACCGCGAGAAGTCGAGAAAGCCTCCCGCCACGACGGCTTCCCTGCCCGAGGGGGTCTGGTGGGGGGCCACATGCGAACCCTACCCCTACCCCCCACGATTTCGGAGGGGGAGGGTGGGGTTCACTCCGTTCGGGAGCTCCCGAGCGAAGTCGCACGTGGCCCCCTGTCTGGATCTGGGGGCCCACGTGCCGAGGGGCAGTCCGGGCGCCGGGGGGGCCTGCCGCCCGCCGCGGCCGCCGGGCGGGGAGAGGCCGTGTGGCGCGCGTGCAAGCCGCTGCTGAGCGAGCGCACCCGGCAGAAGATCTCCTTCGTGGACGAGGCCCTCGGCTGAATCAGCGAGCGAAGAACGGTATAAGATACACTTTTTCGCTGTCGGAGGCGCCTGTCCCAGGGCGGCTGGGAAGTTTGTACCCCTACGGTGCCACCGTAAGGGTATAAACTTTCCAGCCGCCCTGGGACAGGCGCCTCCGACAGCGAAAAAGTTATTTTACACCGTTCTTCGCCCTTTAACACTGAAGTCGGGCCTGTCCCTCTATACAGGGGGAAACAAGGAAGTAGCAAAGAAAGGTCGGGGGATTTGTTTTTCGCGTATTTTCAAAGATTTGTGGGGTACTTCCTGGAGCATGTTTCATTGGTCGCTCGAAGTCCCCCTGTGTAGGGGGACAGGCCGGACCTAACCCTCGGCGGGCCCCCGCGGCGCGCTGCCCGCGGCTTTCTCGCGCGGCGCGCCCGTCGCGCGGCGGCCTGCCTCTGGGCGCCCTCCGGCCCGCGCGGCGCTCGCTTCGGTTCCTCCGGTTCGGTTCGATGCGATTTCGATGGCTTGCGATTCCGCTCTTCGATCCCAGACCCCCTCGAGGAAGGAAACAATCATGACGGAAGGTTTTTCTGAATTTTCGGCCTCGAGGGGCCCTCACTGGGCCTCGGGAGCGTTAAACAACGACTCAGGATGCAAAGCCGCTCATGGGGAAAGGGTCGGGATCTCTGGGGGTCGACGTAACGAACAAATCGTTACGTCGGGGGTCTGGGGTGCGGCTTCGGATTCCGATGTGGGCTTTCCGATTGTCCAATCGAGGCCTACTCAGTTGCCCATTTCCGCCGAGTCGACGTTTCCCGATTCGGCTGCCGATTTCCGCCGATCCGATTGATTTCGAGCGCCGATCTGACTTATCGATTCGATTCTGGACTCTCCTGCCTCTCCGGGTGCGCCGCCGCGCCCACACGAGCTATTGTTCCAGTGCGCCTGTTAGAACGGAGCCAGAACGAGGGACAGACATCGGGTACGGGTACCGCGGCATGGCGCCCTGCAGTGTCTGCACGCAGGGAGCGCGTTCCCCCGGCCTCGGGCCTCACTGCCGCCGCAGGCCGACCCGGCTCGCAGCCTGCCTCAAGAAGATGGCCGGGGTCCAGGGCTCCGGCCGCGACGTTTCGCGATGTCGGGCATGTGTCGCCACGTCGGATCTCAGCAGGGCTGGACCTGAACGGTGTCTTGGCGATTTCGTGGGCCGTTTTCGCTTCGACTTCGTTTTGCGGTAGAGGTGGATTGAAAACAAAGCGAGGGAAAGCGAACACAAAACGAAAACGAAAAACACCGTTTAGGTTCAGCCCTGGGTCTCGGGAGAGGATCGGCGGGTCGAGGATCTTGCGCAGGCCCAGGCCGCCCAGATGGGGCCGAGGCACGACGGGGTCGGCGGACCCGCCCCGCGTCGCCGATGCGTCGACGGTGCGGCTCGATGTGGAGCGCGGGTGTCTCACCGCGCCGACGTCGCCGATGCGTCGCCGGTGCGTCGCCGACGCATTCGACCCCAAAGATCCAACGTATTGAAAAAAACAAGACGGAGGTTTTTCGCAAATTTCGGCCCCGAGGGGCCCTCGCTGAGCCTCGGGACCGTCAAACAGCGATTCAGGATGAAAAATCAGTCCTGGGGAATGGGTCGAGCCTTCCGGGGACCCCGTATGGAAAAAATCACGACATCGGATCTCTGGGACGGTGCATCGGCGATGCGGCGCGATCCGCCGACACCACCCCTTCGACCCCAGCTTGGCGGCCCCCAGCAGGGGTGGCCAGGTGGGCGGCCCTCCACCTCTTGGCATCGCTCGGACGTGTGCGTGTTTTCTCGGCGAGGACCATCGAGGACCATCCTGGACCAACAAAAAAAACACGCGCGGAACCGAAAAATGCACAGGAGGACGTCCGAGCGACGGCAATACCTCCGCAGGCTGGCCGGCCTCGCGCCCGGCAGCGCATCACCGCCGAACTACGGCCAGGAACTTGATCGACCAGACTTATAAGGCCCTGAGATCCCGTCCCGTCCCGGGGAATGGGTCGAGATCTGGGGGTCGACGTCATGAAAAAGTCATGACGTCGGGGGTCTGGGGTTGCAAGTTTTGTTAAGACTGGCATTTTCACAAGGGCCCCCGGACCCTCACAGATCGATCCGGCTCGAAAAATGACGCGGAAAGATGGGGTCCGGGGCTCCGACGGTGATTGTTTGCGATGCTGCAACTTGTTTGCGGCGTCGGATCTCAGGGGAGTGGCCTTTCGCCGGAGTGGCCCCTTTGGTGCTGGCCCGATGGGGCCCCCCGGCCGCGGAGCGCGGAGCGGCGGCATAGCGGCTTTGCGCGCCCGGGCTTGGCCACCCTTTGCGTCCTCCGTTCGGTCGCGCCCCAGAGGTCAATCCTGCCCCGGGATCGGGGGCCACACGCGAACCCTACCCCTACCCCCCACGATCTCTGAGGGGTGGGGTGGGGTGCACTTCGTTCGAGAGCTCCCGAGCGAAGTGAACCCCGCCCTTCCCCTCAGAAATCGTGGGGGGTACTGTCGGGGCGCTGAACAAGGAACCCTTTTCGTTGAGGAGGGGCTCCGTGTTCCTTAATTGTGTCGCAGTTTGCCTTAGGTTGTCCTTGGGTTTTCGATGGAAGATCTATGTTTAACTTATGGACAAAAGGGGCCTCGTTCCTTACCGTTCCTTAGGTCAACGCCCCGACTGTAGGGGTAGGGCTCGCGTGTGGCACCCGAAGGGACACTCTCGCGTGTCGCCGACTCCTGCCCGGCATGTGGCGCCACTGGCTTTGGGCACACCGCGGGGCGGCGCGGCGCCGCGGAGCGCGTCCCGGTCCCCAGGCGTCGCGCGAGCCTTGCCTGGCCACCCGTCCCGCTAGGCAGAGCGACACGTAGCCCGCTTGCAGGGCATATCAGAAAAGAAAAAAACACACAGACACAATGGATCGTCGATTCCCCCCCCCAAAAATGGAAAATATGGGAAGTGGGGGGGAAGACAAAAACCCAGAAAATATACGAAAATATAGGGGTATCCTTTCATTTGTGTGTATTTATTTGTGTGTCTCAGGGCCCCTTCAGCATAGCGCGTCGCCAGGGCCGCGGCCGTGACACAAGGAGCAACAGGTCCCGACCGTATCCTATTCTGCTGCGAGCTGTGCCTCGGTGGCGGGAAGCTGGCCGCCGCGCAAGAAGTGGGAGGGGCAGCAGCGGGCAGTACCAGGCGCAGGGTGGCTGCGAATCTGCGCCTTTCGCGTGCGGGCTTCTTGGCGCAACGCCTGCACATAGCAGTTGCCCCCATGATTCAGCGTTCACCTGGGGTGACATGCGAAAGTGTGCGAAAGTGCGTGTGCGGACGATGTGCGCTGTCGGAGAATTAGCATCGGGGAAGCACACCCTGCATCACGCGTAAGTGTAGAGGAGGAGGAGGAGGAGGAGGAGGAGGAGGAGGAGGAGGAGGAGGACGAGGTTGAGGACGAGGATGTAGGAGGCAAGTGCATGTGCAGCTCTCTGTACGTTGACGCATGGACGAATGTTGTCTGTATGTGTGGCATTGCCTGCTATGCAACCTGGTCTCGTCCTCGAATGATCGAAACGCTGCCATCTCGCCCTCGGCGGAAGCTGTCGGAAGTCATACACAGGCGGGGCAGGTAGCTGTAACTCGGCGGAATTTGGCGGAATTGGCGCAAGTAGACGTTAACCCGCCAAGAGATCAACGCGGGCCCACCCAGTGTGCTGGGTGTCGCCCACGTGGCGTGGCTTTGCCCATGCACGCACATGCTGAGGAGGAAGCTCCGTGGCCGGTCTGGCTCGAGCAGGCAGCTCGTTCCCCATCCCCGCCCCGATACAACATGCGTCTAGGGCTCTTGGGCTCCGCGGTGCGCCCCGCAAGCAGCAGCAGCAGAGGTGGCAGGGCATGCGTGGCCACCGGGGTGGCGGTGGCTGGAGCGGCGGCGGCTGGGGCGGCCAAGGGGGCGCCGCTTGCGGCAGAGGCGGCCGGAGCAGCGCGCCGGAGCAGGGGCGCAATTCGTACGTGCCTCCGCGCGACTGTGACGCTTTCCTCGCGGGGCAGGCCAAGCGCCTGAACGGCTGGGCGCCGGCGCTGGCGACTGACCGGCCGAGAACGGCCCAGGCGGCGGCCCAGGAGCGGCCGCGGACATGGCTCGGAGTAGTGACCCCTCCCGAGACGAAGAAGAAGATGGCCGGATGGAAAAGTGCCCAGATGAAGAATGGCGCCAGGGCGAAGAAGGGCAAGAAGGGCGCCAGGACGAAGAAGGGCAAGCACGGCCCTGGCACAAAGGGGAAGCGCGGCGCCGGGATGTCTCAGACAGCGCGGTCCGCAGCACGCCCGAGAGCACACGCAGGGCCAAAGCCTGCAAGCGAGCCTACCCCATGGGGCCCGCGACCACCATGGGGCCCGCGAACACCTGAGGTAGCTGGGGCTCGCCTAACTAACACACGCGCTGGCCCTGGCGGCGACGCCTGCGGCAGGGGCGGCCAGGGCGGCGCGCCAGAGCAGAGGTGGAATTCGTATGTGCCTCCGCGCGACTGCCATGGCTGGCCGCAGCCTCGGACCGTTGGGCTGCAGCCCAGACGGGAGGCGAGCAGGCCGCAGCCAGCAACTGCCCCAGCGGCCGCGCCAGCCTCCGCGCCGGCGGCCGCCTCCAGTGGGCCCCGAACCGCCCCAGCGCCGCGGCCACCCTGCGCTGCCGCCGTCCCGCTGACGCCGTCCGCGCCAGCGATGGCCTCCCGTGGGCCCCGAGCCGCCCCAGCGCCGCTGGCGCCTCGCGCTGCCGCCGTCCCGCTGCCGCCGTCCGCGGAGGCGCCGCGGGCAGCTGTGCCCGCCGTGGACGTGGACGTCAAGCGGCGGCTGGGGCTCGGAGAGGACAGCAGCCAGCTGCTGGCAGCCGCTCCGGCGGCAGCGCCAGCGGCCGCGCCGGCGGCAGCGCCAGCGTCGGCGCGGGCCGCGGCGGCTGCCTCCGGTGGGCCCCTGGACTCCAGCGGCCGCGCCGGCACCCGCTGGTACCGCGCTGACAGCAGCCGCCTTTCGGCAGCCGTCTTGGGAGACCATCCCGGCATCAGGTACCGACGTTCCCGCGAGTTGGGTGACACGCTCGGGCGGAGAGGCCTCATGTGGAGATGCACCGTGCGTGGCGTAGCGATTGAGGGAGGGTGGTTGAGGGTGCGTAGGTTACGCAGGCATGGAGGCGGCTACATGTTCCTCCCTATGGAGCACCGCGGCGTACCTATGCTGGTGCCCGCGCCCTTCTGGAGCAAAGCCGCAGCCGCTGCAGCCACAGCGCGGCGCCGTCGCTCCAGATCGGGGGCCACACCGCGGCGCCGGCAGAGCGACGCCGGTGGCGCCAGCGGCTGCGCAGTCGCTGCGGCGCCGCCGCAGTCGCTGCGGCCGCCTCGTGCCCACTCCGATGTTGCCCCGTCTGCGGCCGCGGCCGCGGCGCCGCTAGCGCCCCCCACCGCGCTGCAGCAGACGGCGCCCGCTGGCGCGGTGACGGCCTCGAAGGGGCCGCCGCCGCCGCCGCGGGACCCGTGCAAGACGTGCGGCGCCGCCGTGGGTAGCCCCCAGTGGAGCGCGCGCAAGGGCGTCTTCTCGGCGCGCTGTGCGGGCGCGAAGCGGCACGTGCTGGATTGGTGGAAGGGCCGGTGGTTGGGCGCCGGGAACTGTATGCACACACCCTCACACCAGGCCTGGCCAGGCCCCCCCCCAGACCCTGGGCAGTGCACGCCTCCTTGGCCAGGGCAGGAGGGCGCACGCACCGCCCCGAGGCTGAGGATGAGCCTGGCCACGATCGGTGTAGCAAGACCTTCGACGTCGTGATCTGTTCAGCGCGCCCCCTGGAGCTCTCAGCCCCTCGTCTCCTCCTCCTCCTCCTCCTCCTCCTCCTCCTCTTAACCCTTGGGTGTTCTTCCCTCTATCGCCTCCGCCATTCCCTATGACTCCATCTCTCTCTTCGATCTCTGCTTCTCATGCTCTCTCGCCATCCCTGAGTGCTGCCGGGGGCGCAGCCATCGCCACTTCGCTGCGCCCGTGGGGGCGATTTCGCGAAGCGAGGGGACACCCACATCAGAGTGACTATGTCCCTCGCCCTGGGTCTTCGATGTCCCTGGGTGCCCACAGGCGTGCAACTGCCTCCACGTTGCTGCGCCCGTAGGGGATCCAGCGGAGCGTGGGAGCATCCAGGTCAGCCTGCCTCCCTCACCACAGGGGTGGACCTAGGCGGTGTTTGGGCGATGTCGTGGGCTGGTTTCATTTCGATTCCGTTTTTTGCGTTAGAGGCGGATTGAAGACAAAACGAGGGGAAACGAAAACAAAACGAAAGCGAAAAACACCGTTCACGTTCAGCCCTGGATCTCACCATCCCTGGGCGGTGCCAGGCGTGCCACCGTCGCCACTCTGCTGCGCCCCAGGGAGGCCCAGCGGAGTGGAGGGACACGCTTCCCTCATGCCTTGCACGACTCGCTCGCGGAGCTTCCATGATGGCAGCACGCATATACACATCATGTTCATCATCCTCAGCATCATCCTCATCATCATCCTCACCATCATCCTCGTCACCATCATCCTCGTCATCAGCATCCTCATCATCACCACCATCATCAGCATCATACTCCGTACTAACATCATCATCAGCATCATAATCATAATCATCATCATTGTTGCCACGATTATCATCGTCATTGTGATCCCCATCATCAGCATCACCATCAACATCGTCGTAATCATCATCATTTATCGGTTGAGCCCATCATCATCAGCAGCACTCGCAGCAGCACCAGCATCATCATCTTCAGCGTCGTCGTCGTCGTCGTCGTAAACCGTATCATCATCATCATCATCATCATCATCACCATCATCATCATCATCATCATCATCATCATCATCATCATCATCATCATCATCATCATCATCATCATCATTACCAGCATCATCATCATCATCATCGTCGTCGTCGTCGTCGTCGTCGTCGTCGTCGTCGTCGTCGTCCCGTCATCATCACCATCACCATCACCATCACCATCACCATCTCCAGCAGTCATTACCGAGCATCATCGCCGGACAACCTTCCCGCCATCGTCGGCGTCGTCATCATGGTCTCCGGCGGGAGGCGGAAGGAGAACACGTCATCATCCGCTCCCGAGGGGCCCGCCGTTGGTGCCACCTGCTCGCGAAAAGAGGCCGGGCTCGCCCCTGGGTGACTCCGGAGGGAAGAAAAACACAGACACAATCCATCGTCGATTCCCCAGAAAACTCTGAAAATATGCGAAGTGGGGGGGAAGACGAAAACGTAGAACACATAGGACGATATGGGAAATCCTTTTATTTGTGTATATGGATTCGTGTGCCCCAGGGCCCCTTCAGTGGCGTCGCACGGCCCCCGGGCTCCGAGGCGTGCCCCCGAGGCCGACGTCGAGGCAGCACGCCGGTGCCGAGAGCAAAAAGGCAGGCGCAGGAGGGAAGAAAAACACGAGCATTGAAGAAGAAGAAGAATAATAATAATAATAGTACTAATCGTAATAATAAGCGCAATCAGCATAAACTTTTGGCGCGCCACACACACACACGCACACAGACACGCGCACGTAACGAATAGTCGACTCCCAGGATTATACATGAAGTATAGGAAGTGAAGGGGGAGGACGAGCACCCAGAGTATACGGAAAATGAGGGGGCATCCTGGGATCTGTGTCTATCTACTTGTGTGCCCCGGGGCCCCCTTCGCAGGTGCCAGGGGTCTGTGTGTGGGGGGGCTCCGGCCGAGCCGGGCACCGGCTGGATGCACGTGTGGGCGCTGGCCGAACTGCCGATCGGTTGAGATCATTCAGGAGGGAAAAAAACACACAGACACAATGAATCGTCGATCCCCATGAAAATATGGGAAAATATGGGAAGTGGGGGGGAAGACAATAATAAAAAAATTGGGGAAATATGGAGAATCCTTTTATTTGTGTGCATTTATTTGTGTGTCCCAGGGCCCCTTGAATCATGTCCGGGATGCCGTGGCCGGCGTTTTTGGGGGAGGGCGTCGATCTCGGCCGGGCGGTCCCCTCCTCTCGCACCGCGGGGCCCCAGGACTGCCCGACGAGGCCTCGCGGACGTCCCCAGGGAGTCCTCGGAAAGCTGGTGCCCCGGAGGGGGGCCGCAGGTGGCCTCGGGGCCTCTCCCCGCTCTCGCCCCTGCGGGCGGCTCCAGCTTCGAGAGTTTGGGCCCGCGTGCACGTCCGTTGTCCGAAAGATGCCGAACTTCCATGGCCACGAGAGGCTCCTCGAGAGGCTCCGGGCTCGGGAAGGCCTCCTGCCTCTCTCGGTTTGTGGAGGGGGGGCCGTCTGCGCGCCCTGGGGACCGTCCAAGACCATTGTTCGTCCGTGCCCCGCTGCAGGAGCCCGGCGAGGGCGGGGGGCCGCGAGCTCGGAGGCCTGGCCGCGGCGGCCTGCGCCCCCCGCGCGCGAGAGAGCGCCAGGACGCGTGGCGCGGCGTCGTGGCTATGCGCACAGTGCGGTGGGAGCGTTGGTTAAGGAATGTGCCCGGGAGGCCTCAGACCCTGGGGTGTTCCTTATTTGTTGAGGGCGGCGGTGGTACCCATGACCAAGCGTCAAGTGGAGTTCCACTGGCTTCCAGACCCTGGATTCCTTATCCAATGGTTCTGTATCTAATGCCCTCACCGTGAGGACGAGCGACTTTCCAAAGTTCTCCTGGCACCCTTGCCCCTTCGACCCATCCTGGGCCATTCTCGCTGGCGGCGTCCCGCTCGAAGGGTGTCGACACGGCCTTCCAAGGCCTTTGTTTCCTTGTCGTGCATCTCCTGCGCCTTGACTCCTCCTCCTCCTCCTCCTCCTCCTCCTCCTCCTCCTCCTCCTCCTCCTCCTCTGCCTCCTCCTCCTCCTCCTCCTCCTCCTCCTCCTCCGCCTCCTCTCTTGGGTACGTCGTCTCCTCCGCCTCCTCCCTCCTGCCTCCTCCTCCTCCTCCTCCTCTTCCACTCCTCCTATTCCTCCTCCTATTCCTTCTTCCTCCTCCTCCTCCTCCTCCTCCTCCTCCTCCTCCTTCCTCCTCCCCGCTCCTCTCTCCTCCTCCTCCTCCTCCTCCTCCTCCTCCTCCTCCTCCTCCTCCTCCTCCTCCTCCTCCTCCCGCATCCTCCTCCTCCTCCGCTCCTGCCTCCTCCTCCTCCTAGCCTCCTCCTCCTCCTCCTCATTTTTCCTCCTCCGCCCCCTCCTCCTCCTCCTACTCCTCCCTACTCCTGCTGCTCGTCGTGCCTCCTGCTCCTATTCCTCCTCCTCCTCCTCCTCCTCCTCCTCCTCCTTCCTCTCTTTTCTCCTCATCCTCCTCCTCCTCTCCAAGCCTCCTCTCCTTGGGGTGCGTCGTCTCCTCCTCCTCCTCCTCCTCCTCTCCTCCTCCTCCTCCTTCCTCCTCCTCTCTTGGGTGCGGTCGTCTCCTCCTCCTACTCCTCCTCCTCCTCCTCCTCCTCACTCCTCCTCCTCCTCCTCCTCCTCCGGCCTCCTCCTCCCCCCCTCCTTCCCCCTCCTCCTCCTCCTCCTCCTCCTCCCCCTCATCCTCCTCCACGCCTCTCCTCCCTCCTCCTCCTCATCCTCCTCACTCCTCCTCCTCCTCCGCCTCCTCCTCCCTCCCCCTCCTCCTCCTCCTCCTCCTCCTCCTCCTCCTCCTCCTCCTCTTCCTCCTCCTCCTCCTCCCCCATCCTCCTCCCTCAAAAAAACCCGCCTCCCCTCCTCCTCCTCCTCCTCCTCCTCCTCCCCCTCTCCGCAACTCCTCCTCCTTCCTCCTCCTCCTCCTCCCTCCTCCTCCTCCTCCTCCTCCTCCTCCTCCTCCCCCCTCCTCCTCCCCCTCCTCCTCCTCCTCCTCCTCCTCCCCCTCATCCTCCTCCTCCTCCTCCCCTCCTCCTCCTCCTCCTCCTCCTCCTCCTCTCCTCCTCCTCCCTCCTCCTCCTCCCCCTCCTCCTCCTCCTCCTCCTCCTCCTCCTCCTCCTCCTCCTCCTCCTCCGCCTCCGCCTCCGCCTCCGCCCTCGTCGGCGTTTCTGGGGGAACGCGTCGATGTCGGCCATGCGGACCAAGTCTGGGGGACCCCACAAAGAGGCCCCAGCCCTGGCCACAGAGCCGCGTGCTCTCCCTGCTCTGGCCTTTTGCGAGCAGCGCCGAGTGTTGAGAATTTCGCCCGTGCGCATACGTGCTGCTCGAAGTAAATCCGTCAGGCATCTTAAGAAATTGCGTAGACGTTCGTGGACTCCAGATTTCGTGGAATGCAGTGAACATGTCTGGGCTGAGCACTGGGCATTTTCTCGGAGCTTTGTTTGTCGCAGAACTGCCGCATCCTTGGACCTGGACTGCTGCTTCAGAAACTGCTCGGAGTGAAGGCCGCTTTCTTAGCGTAAAACTTTCTCAACTCTCGAGGTTTACGAGGCGCTGTGCGCTGAAACTCCTATAGGCTGTCAGGGTAAACCCTGCGTGATGTGCGGCGTCCTGGCGGCTCTCTAGGCTTTGGGGGTTCCCAGGAGGTTTACAGACCACGCACTTGCAATCCAGGGTAGGGCCGTTTTCTCTCATCCCTCAATCCTTGGCGTCAGATTTTCTTACCTCTCGAAACAGCTGCGCAAACCGAATTTCTCTGCGCTCTGCGCGGGCCTCGTGGCTCCTCGCGGGCCCCCCTCTGGTGGCGCCTCCTGCGGCGGCCCAGGCGCGCCCCGCGCGCCCAGGAGGGGGCGGGTCTGGCGCCGCTCCTCGAGGTCCGCGCGGGGTTGTGCGAGGAATTCGGCACGTGCCGTTCCCGGATCCACTCACGGATCCACTGCAATTTCTTTCCATTGACTTCATTCCATGCCGTAGCATGCTCTCCCCTCGGGCAATGAAGAAATCATGACGGGAGGTTTTTCGCTATCTCCGGCCTCCGGGCGCCCTCACCTCACCACCCACCACACCACCCCAACCCAACCCGAAGGCCTCGATTTGCCGTCCATTTTCAGTGTGGGGGGGGCCCGGGAACATCGAAGAAACACGTATGGAGCCCATATCCCCCCCCTCAGCCCGAAATTCGGGTCTTCGGGTTGGGTTGGGGTGGGGAGGTCTGGTAGGCAGTAGGTAGTCATCACCAGGCCTCAGGAGCGTGCAAAAACGACTCGGGATGCACAGCCGGTCATGGGGAATGGGTCGAGAACTCTGCAGAGCTCTCGGCGATGAAAAAATCATGACGTCGGGGGTCTCTGTTTGTTGCTCCTCCAGCTGCCCCGGCTCCCCCGAGGTGGGCGAGCGAGCGTGAGCGCCAGGAGGAGCTGCGAAGGGAGCGCCGCGAGCGCGAAGACGACGACGCGCCGCTGAGCAGGCTCCTGCGCTCCAGCCCCGACCGGTGAGCCCGCGGGGCCGCGCCGCTCCCCCGATCGGGCGGCTCCACCTCCGCGGGGTGCCCCTGCGCGAGGCCCGGGGCGTCTGCAGCTCCGAGCCTCGCCTGCTTCCCCGGCGGCTCTCCGAGGTCGGGGCCATCCCCTCCCCGCTCGAAGAAGGAGCAACGCCCAAACACACAAACACTTGGCGCTCCGCGCGGGCTTCTCGGATCCGCGCTGGGCCCCCCCGGCGGCGCCTCTGGCGCCGCCCCTGGCGCGCTCCACGCGCCAGGGAGCGGGGCCCAGCGCAGATCCGAGAAATCCGCGCGGAGCGCCCCAAGAAGTCGATGTGGATTCCGTTGTTGCTGCTGCTGTTTCTCCTGTCTTCGGACCTGTCCCTCCTCGTGGTGGAGGGCTCGGGGCTTCGGGTGCCATGCTGAACTCCACTGCACTCCGAATATCATCTGTCGAAGCAACGTGGGTGTCCTGGAGCAGAAGGACGTGCCACTGGATAATTCTATCCGACTCGATGTTATGCTTGAAAGAATTCCCGAGGATGGCGGCCAAGGCGCCGAGCGTGAGGGCCGCGCCGGGCTCCGAGGTGGGGCTCCGCGGCGCGGGGCGCGCTCTGCGGGTCGCAGGTGGTCGAGGGGAGCCTCCTCGTGGCCGAGGCTCGCAGGTGGCCAGGGGGAGCAGCCCTCGCCCCCTGCGTTGGCACCTCCCTCTCGGCAGCACGAGGGCTGCACCTGCTTGGAACTTCCAGGGGCCCCATGGACAGGGGAACAAACAGTGACATGAACATCAAAACTCGGAGGACCGCCCGGATTTCTCGGATCAGCGCTGGGGCTCCCCGGCGGCGCCTCCGGCGCCGCCCCTGGCGCGCTCCGCGCGCCAGGGAGGGGGGTCCAGCGCCGATCCGAGAAATCCGCGCGGACCTCCGAGTTTTTATGTTTATGCCACTTTTTGTTCCCCTAATGGAGGCCTCTGGGGATCTCGGAGGAGCTCTCGAGCAGGTCGCTGGGCGGCGCCTGCCTTCGCACTGCTATCGCGAGTCAGGAGCACGCCTGACGCATCGCCCTGGGCGCTCTAAAAAGACTGCCCGCTCCCGCCGTCTCACGATGCTCCTTACTCCTCCTCCTCCTCCTCCTCCTCCTCCTCCTCCTCCTCCTCCTCCTCCTCGTCCTCCTCCTGCCTCCTGCCTCTTGCCTCCTGCCTTCTTCCTCCTGCCTCCTGCCTCCTCCTCCTCCTCCTCCTCCTCCTCCTCCTGCCTCCTGCCTCCTGCCTTCTCCGCCTCCTTAGACCCAATGGCGACTGGAAGAGATCGCACCTGAGCTTTTCCTCTCAGCTTGCGACGTGCGGGGGCCGCGCTGCTGGTCCGTAAAGGGTTGACCCGTGGTGCGGAGCCGGCAACCACAGATCAGCGACGCAAGAAAACGGCGTCGTTTGTGCTGACATTGGCGCGTAAGCTGCCCGCGTAACTGCGCGTGTGAGCGCCCTCGTCTCCAATGCGGCGTGCCGCTCTGGTGGCCCGCCTAAGCTTCGGCGCAAGGTCGTTGTGTCGTCTGGCGTAAGACCTGTTTTTGATCGTCGCGCAGATGGAGGTCGAGAGTAGGGGGGCCACATGCGAACCCTACCCCTGCCCCCCACGACTTCTGAGGGGGAGGGTGGGGTTCACCTTCGCTCAGGAGCTCCCGAGCGAAGTGATCCCCACCCTCCCCCTCCGAAATCGTGGGGGGGCAGGGGTAGGGTTCGCGTGTGGCCCCCTCCCTCCTCCTCCTCCTCGCTCTCCTCCTCCTCCTTCTCCTCCTCCTCCTCCTCCTCCTCCTCCTCATCCTTCCTCCCCCCTCCTCCTCCTCCTCTCCTTCTCCTCTCCTCCTCCTCCTCCTCCTCCTCCTCCTCCTCCTCCAAGAGCTCGAACAAGAGCTCCGTGGTCCAATAGCTCGAACAAGAATCGAACCGTCAGGGGTCCGGGTCCTCCGGGAAGCTTGCGGGCAGCGGCGCAGGCCAAGGCCCGGGAGCTCGTGGAGGCCCGCTTCCCGGCGAAGACCAGGGAGCGGATCTTCACCGCCTTCGACATCAACAGGAAGGGAGGGAGTTTGCCGCCTTCGGCAATCCAGATCTCGTAATAAAGGGAGGGGGGGTCCCATTTCGGGGGGGGGTCTCTTCCAGGCTATCTTGGAGGGCCTGGGGGGGTCTGGGGACGATGTTTTGGAGGGTTCTCCCACGGGGGAGGTCTGAAATGGCTTGTCTTAGGGGGTCCAGACCCCCTGCCTTTTAATACGAAGTCTGGAGTACGTTCTCGTGCGGTATCTACTGCCGTGGTACCTTGCACTATAGAGATGGTCACGCTGCCGGTACACAGATATTTCTCCGAGTGCTGTTCCCTCCATGTCATGCCGCATTGGCGCTGTGTCGTTCCAGACACGTCCCCGCGCATTGCCGCCTTCACGCGTTGCTGTGAAATCGTACGGCGCACTCCGCTCACCCACCACTTCCGCGCTGCAAGGTCCGCAGGCGCCGACGGGAAACCCAGGGCCGACGGGTGAAGTTCTGGACGAGAGAAGCGGGGGGGTCTGGAAGGGAGGGATAGGGAGAGGGAGGGAGGGATAGAGAGAGGGAGAGGGGGGGGTCGGGTTCAGGAGGCGCGGCGGGGGAGTAGGAGAGAAGGAAGACGAGGCCGAGCAGGACGTTTTCTCCTCCACCTCCTCCACCTCCTCCACCTCCTCCACCTCCTCCTCCTCCTCCTCCTCCTCCCCCTCCTCCCCCGCCCCCCCCTCCTCTCGAGGCGCCTTTCTTCCAGGTTCAGGCGAAGCCACGGGCGGACGGGAGTTCGTCTTCGACCAGCGGCTCGGCTGCCGCGATCACCGCCGCTCCCAGACCTCCTTTTTCCGCCCTCTGGGCGTAGTCGGGGGGGCGACGACGGGAGACGGCGAGGAGGTATCGGCGGCCCACGGCCATCGGGTACAGGTGCGTCCAGAGCACCGCACCGCCGACCGAGGACGGGCCGCGAGATGCGAGCCACACGGCTGCCGCGCCCACCGCCTTCCCCAGAGCCCTTCAGCCCTTGGGACGTGGACGGATTGCCACGACGGGAGGCTGCCAGGAGGCACCGATCGCCCAAACTCGTAGGGCACAGGCTCGTCCAGAGGCCACCGCGCCGCCGACCGCGGATGGTCCGCAAGTGGCGTGCCATGCAAGAACCAGGAGTTCGACGACTTCGGGCCCGGCCTCCTCCCCACTGAAAAATGGTGGTCGGGATCAGAAGGCCAGTGTTGGGTCGACGTCGGCCGCGTGTATGGTCTGGCGGGTCTGACAGCGGGTCTTGCAGATCCCGAACCCCAGTTGGGGAAGCAGGAGTTCGACGACGTCGGGCTTGGCCTCCTCCCCACAGGCGCCCGATGCGGTTTCGAAAAGTATATGTCAGGGTCAGCAGCCCGGCGTTGGGTCGGCTCGGCGGCGCGCGTGGTCGGGTGGGTCTGGCAGCAGGTCTTGCAGGTCCCAAGCCCCAGCTGGGGAGCAGGGTAGTGCAGAGATAGCTGCAGGGACAGGACGGCGGTGTTCATCGTCGGGAAGGCCTGGCGCCAGGGCCAAGACAACTGGCGCGAAGGCGAGGGCAACGGTCGACGACGCGCTGCTGCAGGCCGCCACCTGCAACTGCCATGCCTGGACGATTCTGGCCAGGCATTCGTGGAATGGATGGGGCACGACAGGCAGGAGCATGCAGACGTCTACCTCGCGCAGGGGGCCCGTTGGCGCACTGCGGCGGCAGCAGCTCCCACCTCCTGGGCAGCGGAGGCAGGGCACGGCGTGCACGCGGCAGCGGCCCGCCAGACTGGAGATGGCGCGCTGGAGCAGTCGGGCGGGGTGGTTGTGCTGATCCAGACGACCTACGGGACCAAGGTGCTCGGAGATAGATTCCCCGCGACACGCAGGCACCGCTTTGTGGCGCAGCTGGTCAACGTACACATGGACATCCCGATCGTTGTCACTACACTTCGGCTTACCCGATCACCAGTGAGGGCGCTCGTGGAATGGATTGGGCACGACAGGCAGGAGCATGCGAACGCCGACCTCGCACAGGGGGCCCGTTGGCGCACCGCGGCGGTAGCAGCTCCCACCTTGTGGGCGGCTGACCCAGACGACCTTTGGCACCAAGGTGCTCGCAGATCTGTTCCCCGCGACATGCGGGCACCGCTTTGTGGCGCAGCTGGCCACCTTCGAAATGGACACCCGGAGCGTTTCTTATGTCTTTTATCGACCTGCCAGATCACGAACGAGGGCGTTGGACCAGTGAGCGTGGAGCTGTTAGGGGTTCTCGCCGAAGTGGTCGCGTCCCTCGCGAGTGGCCAGTCATCGCCAGCGGGGTCTGGCACATCTCCGCGGGTGAGCCCACTGCCATCGACTGGCCAGGCCGTTTGCGGGCACAGATCGCCCAACCCGAGGGTACCACGTGCAATGGGAGTGCGTCGGACTATTTCGCCGCGCCCCAGTGTCTGCTGCCCCCTGTTGCGAGTGTCAAGACGCCGCTAGATAGCCCCAGAGGCCCACGATGTGGTTAGGATGGCTCTCAAGGGCCTCCCTGGCAAGGCCAGTTCTGGCAGCGTCTTTTTCCATGCGATTTCCCCCAGGATCCTCCTGAGGGGCCCAGAGGCGAGCTCCAGCCCCTCGACCCGTCTTGGTCTGAAGGCGGCGCCACACCGCCAGGGCACTCGGGGGCATCCAGGGATGGCTCAGGGCTGTGGAGAAGTCTTTCAGCGCAGGCTCACGCCATCGGCTTCGGCCAGATACACGGGGCAAATACAGCGTGGGCGTTTCCAAATTGACGGCCCTCGACAAACGGACTTCGCGCTAGCAAACGAACTTCGACATCGTAGATCCCCAGGCGAATAGTACATCACAACCTCAGGGCAATCGCGATTCCCCCACCCCGCTCTGTCCCCCCTTTGGACTTGATCACAATTCACAAAATGTCCCCAGGGGCGTTTTCAGCAGCTGGCATTGGGACGACGTGCCCATTGACGCAAAGCGCACTGTTGCATACCCCATGCACTGGTGTATACCCCGCCTGGAAAAACAGCACGACGAGTTGAACTGATAAACGAAATGACGGGACAGGTTTGACGGTATGAATATACACCATGATGGAAGGGGCAGGGTGCTATATACACCACACGGGCGGGCCAGCCATGGATACACCAGCGTGACGGGCCAGGACAATCGATACACCAGCAACGCCCAGAACAGACACACCAATGATTTCACGTTCTTGCGCACACCGTCAGCCCCGGAGCTACAACAGGAGGAACGCACTGGCAAGCGCCCCAAAGCCCTCCAACTTATACAACATGCACAGAAGCTTGAGCGCGCGATCGCGCGTCCGCAGACGAAATTACCCTGTAGAGTTCACAGGCTGGGATGGAGGAAATAACAGAATCACAGTCGGGGCTCAAGAGACGGGGGTCAATGCAAACGGGGGTCAGCCAGGGCACCGGATCCTGCAGGATCCTGCGGAGACCCTCTTTGGCTGACCCGGATTAGCGAGCCGCTCGTGGCCGCGAGGCGGCCGCGCATATTGGCTGACCCGGGTTTGCGAAGACCTGCGTTGCAGTTTTGCTGTCTTGCACTGCAGTTTTTCGGTTTCCTGCTGACCCGGGTCTGGATTGACCCGGGTCAGAAGATCCCCTGGATTCGTCCGCAGACGAAGTTACCCTGTAGAGTTCATAGGCCGGGATGGAGGAAATAACATAATCACAGGAAGCAGTTTTTGGTATTGATCAGGTAAACAATATGGACGTCACAGCTTGACCTCCATTTGTCTCGAAAGGTTAAACCGGTATGGTGTATCGCACATGGGCCACCGATGTGCAGCCGGCGCGGCCGGTGCCGCGGCGGTTGCCCTTCTCCCCAAGGGGGGCGCGGCGCACGGGCGCGAGGGCGATCGCGCCGCGCGGGCGCGAAGAGGATCGCGCATCACGGGGCGGCGCGGGGGCGCGAAGACGATCGTGAACCGCTGGGCGGGACGAGGATCGCGCGTCGCGAGGGCGCGAGGGTGACCGCGCGAGGGCGCG